GAGTGCGAATTGTGCAGAAGGTCACCCTAAGGCTCGGGAAGGTCCTATAGGAATCCATTTTGGGTTTCCTCATGTCGGTTTCATCCTTCTAAGTGTTAGAAGTCGATACCACACACTTGGAACCACAAAAGAGGACGGAAATAGGTCGAACTAAAACGAGGCGGGCACCACTTCTAAGGTTCTAAGATAATCGCAGGAAGACCCCTAAGGCTAGATCCTAACTCCTACGAGAAAAACTAGACCTCACGAAAATTGAGGTCAACAGATACATGCGGCATTGAAAATAGACTTCAGTTACACATATCTCCAATTCAATTCTTTCTTTAATCATTTGGATAATTTATTTGTCATGAAACAAGTCAAATTTGCACAGAGATGAGTGTGTCATTGTGGTAGGTATTTCAGAAGCATTGCTGATAAAAGAAGTGCCTGCTTTCTTAACCAATGCGGCTAAATGATTTTTGTTGAGCCGCAATTGCCAGTATCTTGATTTTTATATGGTTGGAAGTTTGTACATGATATTTTTTATAACTTATAATAGTAAATCAATGGTTGTTACGATGGAAAAAATGATTGCATAAATTGTACTCTCAATCTTTTGGTGAATTATATTTCCAATGACTAATTTATGGTTAGAAAAATGTAATTTTTGTTTAATTTTTTATAACTTCTAACTAAGGTGGTTAAGGATTTGATTGGCACTTAAATTTGTTTTAGTTATTTGATTTGAGATAAGCAATTAGTTCTGTCGTGGTCTTCATTTTTTGTGGTCTTCATTTTTATATTCTTTGGTGTTCTGTGATATGTTTTTCTAGACTTGGTCATGTATATAATTTTCACGAACTCATGCTGATAAAGTTTGTGAACTTCTTTGTTTCCCTTCTTTATTTCCTTAAGCTTCCGAGTATTTCTTAATTTGTAATTTTATTTTTGCAGACAAATATCTCTGGATTGCATGTTTCTAGAATCACAGTGTATTATCGATTATAGCATGCTTTTGGGGCTGCATTTCAGAGCGCCCGAATGTTTGAGGCCAACCTTAGAATCTGAAAACAGAAATCAATATCTCAGTTCGGCTACTGATAATTGTATGTATCACATTTCAGTACTATTATTACCAATTCACAATCATTTTTTCTTACTGCTTTAGTATTTTGCATTAAAACTAGACATTAAGTAGTACCTCACAGATGAGACCAGTAGCTGAGTCAGAATTTAAAGGTGGAGGGGCAAATGCAAAGAATGATTGCTTTCATTGCAATTATTTTTTTAGTTTTCTTATTAGCTGATATTCTCTTTAATTAATTGAATGCATTAGGTTGGTTTAGCTTGATTTATAGCAGGATTATTGTAACCTAATTGAATCAAATCCTATATATTGTAATATATTTCATTAGTTCAATGAGAAATGGGTAAGCAATTATTCCGAATGATATGGTATCTGAGTAATAGATCCTTTTTCCCTCTCTTCTATATTGCCGCTACCCTCATTATCTTCCTAGGAGCATGATCCCATTCGCCACCCTCTTCTTCTTTCAGCATACATGAGTTCTGCATCAATGTCTACCTCCCCACATAGTGTCTCTGTTCCAACTCCTGCTCCCTTGTGCCTCTCAATTTCTATTGCTTGCCTCTACCTCCACCGCCACCTCTATATGCAACTCCAAGCTTTTCAAGCATCGCGTCTTCACACCACATGTGCATTGTACTCTGTTGTTGTTTTGTGTGTTAGCCACTCATATGTGTGTGAACCATTTCCGGTCTCCAACTGCTTCATACAACCCACTCTAGGACCACTTCTTCCTGTTTCTCTTATTTTCTACAGCTCCTGTTTTAGTATCACTTTCACATATGCTGCTTGCTAGCTAGCCTAGACACAATTTGCTCTCTACATTGGCTAGTTGCTTCTCCTTCCTAAGTGCATCTTATTCTCCTTTTTATTCTCCTTGCTTAGCATCTCATGTTGATGTCCTTCCCCAGTAAAAATCAACTTAACCTATCTTTTTTTTTTCCTTGCCCTTTTCTCTTTCATGCCATGTCCTTTTGCAATAAGAAGTAGCCTTCACCACCAAAACTGGCTTCACACCTTCTTGGACTCCATGCAACAACTCTGATGATTAACCACCTTCTTATGCTTATCTTGGGTAAGCATGTATGCAGGAGCTTAGCAGTAATCACAAACGGAACTCCAGTGACCTGCGATTGCAAGATTCCGTATGAGGGAACCGAAGCTTTCCACGACCTCGGGATTGATAGCCAGCCGACATCCTTCCTATTTCAGCTTTCGTTTCTTTCCTTTATGATTCTTTCCTATTTTTCTATTTTCTAATTGGGCTCTTTTCTATTAGCAGACTTTTATATGCTGTGTGGTGGCTGTTTGGATTTCAATTTTGCTATGTTTATAAATTTAAGAGAGTTTTCTCTGATTTCTGCTCTTCAAATTACTGTCGTATCCTTTTTATTTTATAAGTGGTGTATATGTGTTTAGTTTAGGAATATGTGATGGAACCTCCTCCCCTCCCATATCTCGTTGTTTCGCTGTCCAATTTCCTGATTTTAGCTAGACAGCCACTGACGACGTCAAACTTGCCGTCCAACAGCAGATTTATCCCCACAATCCCTTCCAAGCACCGTCAACCTCAAATACTATCATTCCCTTGCTATTTCACAACTACTTCCCGCAAGATGCACTTCCAAAATACCTTCTGTGAAGTTGTACATTTTGTTTGCATTAAGCTAAAAGAAAGTACAAGAAGTACAAAATACATACCACTAGGCATGAGCAAAAGGGTCCTGTCCTCCCAAAGAATGACAAAAATCTCCGAGGATTCTAGGACCGTATAAAGGGAAAAGCTATGCAAAAGAGCTTTTTAGGCATAAAAGTGGGCAGCTTTATTAAGTGTGACATTCATAACCACGCGTTCACACAATGTTCTATTTTTGGACTACTTATCTCTGAATCCATCGTTAACTTCAACTTATTGCCAACTCACTCTTTGGTTCTTCAACTTTTCCTGTGCTAACCATGTGCTTACTATGCTATCAGCAATTCTCCGGTTCTTTTCGGTGTTTTTTGACAATGGTGCTTTTCAACCCATCACTACTAGGTTATGTCTCGGCTCATAATCTGAATGTGTCCCTGATGATATTTTGGCTGAAGATGCCACAAGTTTATCTATAAACCACATTATTTCACCTTTTACCATTCATCTCTCTCAATTCTTCTTGTAAATTATTTTTCTTATGCTTCTAGAATGAAAAAAATCATTTTCTTATATCAATTTTGTATGCCCAATAGTGTATGTATTAAGTTTCTACGCACTAGGTTTCATTTAAATTATCTACACAACTTTTTTTTTTGACGGGGAAAATTAAAGATGGTGTGTATGAATGGCTAATATATTTCCTAAGTCACCTCCGCTATCCCTTTCTTCTAATGTCAAGATAGTGTTATCAGAGATTATGCTATTCGTCAATCTTAAGCACAGTATTTACAGTTCAAGGTAGATGTATCTTCTTCACTGTCATCAACTTCTCAATGTAATGTGTTTCAATTCATTAAGAGCTATAAATTTCTTTTTTCCGGTGCTGCTATTGCATCTTTTTGACAGGGCTCACCTTTATAATAATTCTATGATGGTTTTGAATATTTTGTTCTTTTTTCTCACCATATAAAATGCATCTAGTACTATCTACTTAACGTGAAAATATTATGTTATTTATATTAGCTTTAGTGTCAGGTCAAAAAATGCTTTGATCGCTAAATCACCTGTCTTGTTTCTCTCCATCAATGACATATTTTAGCTTGCACACCAGAATATAATGGATAGTTCAAAAAGTATCATTTGCATATTATCAAAATTGGTCTCTACGGCTAGTCCATGTGCCCATTCCACAAATCGATTTACTTATTTAACACATTCATTTGCTACGACAGTTTACCTCATAAATCTTATGTGCACCTTGATGTTTCCCATCTTTTCTCCATACGAATATCTCTTTGGCTTCCCTCTCAACTATTCCGAATTTCATATGCTTGGCTACTTAACTTGTGGCTTCACTAGAAACTACACATGATAACTCTCATTGCAAACTTTGTGTTTTATTTGGTCGCTCCATCAAAGTGCTTGTCTATATTGACACCACTACATCAAAAAGTTCTCTTATTTTATCATATTTGTTGTGTGTATTTTTCTTTGCATCTCTCTCCTCATCTCATGATGCCTTTGAAGAGAGAATCTCCTTGTAGTTTTCTCCCATCCTTTCCATGTCCCTCTTTGTAGTATTCTTTTTGCACCCACCATCCAAAACTTTCCCTCTACCATATTACCATTTACGACTTTAGCATTTATCCGAACACCTCAAAATCCACACCTGCTCCTCGGCCAACCACTAATCAACCAGTCCATTCTTCATCGGTTGATAATCCATTCTCCATTAGTTACTTGACCAACCCCATTCACATCTACAACCGCTGGAACAATCTACTACAATCACATCACACACCCAATCTCCCTCCCTCCAAACTCAACAACACGCATCAAATGATCGACTTAATCCAGAAATAACATTCACAAGTTAATGAAAAAACTGTCTCACAGCTAAACTAAACCAATCATCATAGTCCAAGCACCCAAGAATTTTAATTTATGTCAAACCGTGTTGAACGAATATGGCGCTCTTATTTAGAATGGAACTTCGTTATCTTCTTTTCACTACCTCCATTCAGAATGTGGTTGTTTGCTAATGAATTTTTCCAGAACAAATATAACTCTGATGGGTCTATTGACAATTTCAATGCTTGTTTGGTTGCTAATGGTTTTCAAAATGATTGGAATTGACTCCAATGACAGCTTAAGTCTTGTTTTCAAGCTCTTCACTCTATGTTTGGTTCTCAGCATGGCCATCAGTTTATGGTGATCTCTGTGTTAATTGGATGTTAAAATGTCTTTCTTGAAGACGATCTTGTTGTGGACAGCTTGGCTCAGCCTGCAAGCTTAATTGACATAGAACACCCTTTTTAAGTTTGTAACATTCTCAAAGTCACATATGGTGTTAAAGAAGTACCTCATTCCTGATAACCTGAACTGCAACAATTTTTAGTTACTTTTGGCTTCAGCAACTCTTTTTTAGGCACGTTTATCTTTGTTCTCAACTCCAGTGATACACTCACTTATCTTGTTTTTGTCGACAACATTGTTATAGATTACTTTGACACACTATTCCCTGAGTTTGGAAGTTATTCTGCACCCAGAACAACTCTTCTTATTTGTCTGTTGGTGCATCCATGATCTCCTTGCTTTTAGTAGGATGACATGCTAATCCCATCGCTACATAAGTCTTTCCAGCCACCAAGTTCATCCTTCACTTTGGTTCTACGCTAACTAATCCGCTAATTATAGAACTGTGGTGGGTGATTTCCAATAATAAGATTTTATGCACCCAAATATTTATTTAAAGCTGAATAATCTCAGTTTATGTATTGTTCCGCAGCTGATTGTTGAGATGCAAGCCTTGTTTTTAATTATGATTTTTCACTTCAACTCAGACGCAATCTTTCATGTCGATTGGTAAGTGACAAGGTTGATTTTACTTTTACAAGTTTGTACATAATGTAACTTAATTGAAATCCAGATATCACTGAAGAAATAAAAGGGGGAAATTACATACATAGCACCCAATTCCTAGTTATTAACATATCTAACACCTAAATTTTACAGTTTACATTTATAACACCCAAATCTTTCATATCTCATTAAAAATACCACTCTTTTTAACTTTTAAAAATTGAAATACATCTTTTCATGCATAGTTAAGGTGGTACGTTATGCAAAAAATGAAGTTTAGATGTTAGATATGTAAATACTTAGGAATTAAGTGGTATGTAGGTAAATCTTCAAATAAAGTATCATAGCCTGCTTCTCCACTGAAGCTGCATATCGTTCTCTTATCAACATTATTATTGTTCTTTGCAGGGTATGATCTTTACTCACCTTCCTCAGTCTTCATTTATTATGTGAGAAATCAGTTTTAGCTCTAAGAGAAATCATTGGAACACACATGTGGCACTGCCATCATGCCATCAATTATCATAATTTTCATAATCAGGGATCTCGGACATGTTCTCTGGAGGTCTTCTCTAGAGAAAATTTTATTTTCTTTTGGGAAGATCTCACCTTCTCTTCGCATTCTACCCTTCTCCTTGTGTTTTTAGCATTCTGTTAGGAGTCAAAGTCCCCTTGGGCCCCATGCTGCCCAGCGCACAAACCTAACTGGTTCTTGATATTGCAGGAAATGTCAACTTCCAATACCTTTAATCACCTTATTTGCCTCCATGATGTTCTGTATGGTCAGGAATGACCTCACTTATAAATCGGTCGCCATGTACAGAGCATGTAACTAATTTGCATGTAGTCCCTCTCTCAGTTTCTCAAGTAGGTCAGCTTTCGCCATTTGCAATCCTTTGTTTTGTTTCTTATATGATATTTCCTAATAGGTATATACCAGATATGCCTGTAAGAGATATCAATGATGGAATTTTTAAATTGAATTTTTGAAACTGAACTATTATTTCGTGTATATTAGCTGTTTTATCATTTAGTGTATGATATTTTTATTTCCATATTTTTAATGATACCCTTTTAAAGTTACATCGCTATAAAAATTTTCCTTTCAAGGAACGCTAAATTTGGAGCCTAAATAGAACAGTTCAAATGCAAGATGAAGAAAGGCTATTATTCAGAACCATGCACTTTGGATCTTAGTTTTTAATTCAACTATATTTTTTTGTTGTTTAACATGTCCTGTTTCATACTTAAATATCATGAAAAATTTCTGCACTTACCTAATTTATTCAGTGACCTTTGTGGCACAGTTGGCGCATCTAGGCAGGATGACTTAATAATTCCTCCAAAGGGCTTGCTCTTGGTTGCTCACGAACCTGAATCTGTGAGCAGCATGCCAGGCTCGCATATTAGGGGCAGCACATTAAGGTCATCTGCAGTTGGTGATGAAGAGCGAGAAGTTGACCTTCTTCTGCCTGGAACCGGAAGGTATAGCTTGCCTAGCTATTTACTCTTGTTTTCCTTCTGTGAACTTTTCTATCCATATTGCGTCTGTGTTTCACAAGCTAAATCTCTTTGCACAGTAAGAGTCCATTACTCATAGATTTGGATTTTTTTTTTCGATACCCTACTTTACAGGTCTAGTTCACCTATAGTTGTGAAACATCACGCTCTTTAGGTGCCATGGAATTTAGTTGTCTTCAAACTCTTTCTTTATTTTATTTTATTTTATTTTATTTTATTTTTGGTTGCGATTCAACTCAATCAAAATTTGATGGCGTATAACTGAAATTCTATAGTCCTGTTCGAAGAGGATACAAGACATAACTATAAATATGCAAGGCCGAAAGTTCATAGATCGGATTCGGAGCAGATACAAAACTTGAAGAGACACAACTTATCGAGCCAACTAGACAGTTCAGCTAGGATAATTTGACCAATCGACTTCATCAGGCATTTATGACCAAGAGCTCACCTATGATGATCAACACACAAATATAGATTGAGACAACTGAAGGACTCGCCAAGGAAGATCAATTTGCTTGGCAGTTGATTTGCTGAACTCCCCATAAGATATGTTCGCCCGGGAAGAATTGGTCTAATTCCCCATTGGGTTAATTCGCTGACCAATAGAAGCATGACTAGAAAGTTAAGTTTGAGAAAAGACATTTAATAGGGAAAGTTTTTCCATAGAGGAAAACAAACATATTTTTAATTGTAAGATCAATTTCATAAGAAAACACGAGCGATAGATCAAAGGTTTCTTAAGATTTTAGTGTAATGAGTACTTTATTTGTAATTACTAAGCCACCTCCCTATAAATATGAGTGATCACTATAATGCAAGAGGAATATTCCCAAATATTAAAGAAGCTCATTTGTCCATCTCTTTAATATTTCTTTGTGGTGTGAATTCATGAACAAATCAAAATCCAACATCCTGAACGTTGTGATGACTGTAAACATGCCACAAATAAGAAGAAAAATCACATAATGGGCCGAGCCAAGTAACAAGAAGATCATAGGTAACATAGATTGCACTAGAGAATTTACAAAGCAAATCAATGATTTGAATTAGCAGATGATAATATTAAGAGAACCTTAGAAAAAGTGCTCAGAGTAGTCCCAAGGGAGTGAATACTCCCTTCTCTAGATTTAGCAATGATAGAAAAGATTCGCTGATGGAGGGAGAAAGACCTCGTTGCATGCTCTAGTAGAAGAGGGCCATACATACCATCTCGATACTACTAGTTCGGTCCTCTTGGAGTACAAAGGAGAGAGAAGGAAAACTATGAACCCTAGATGATACCAATTGAAGAATGTGTTATCCAGAGAGATCATCAAAGAAAATGTCCCAGGGATATTTAAGATTCTGGTTTTAGAATATTGAGTAGATTTGACTCCTCAACCACATTATCTCATTTAAATCGATGATATGCTTGCTTAAAATAAATGATATTTTGCAATGTTGTTTATTTTTCCTGACCCTAAAGAAATCAACACTCAAGTGATTCAACTGTTTGCCACTAAATGATCACTTTCTATGTGGATTTTAAGCTCATGTTTGATTGCATAGTTTGCCAGTGTATTGAAGTGATAAAAGAGCTCGCAAGCTCTATTGCAGCAGGGGAATCCTTGCGAGCTTTTGCTACTCTTTTCCAACCTAGCTTTGAATGACCAAATACATTAGTCATTTTATTGAAACTAGCGAATAACCATATTTCTATTGAAAAATATAATCTCCTCGTAACACCTCCAATACATGATGCTAGGAATCGTGCCCACCAAAGAGGAATTTTTGTCAGATCGACGAAGGAGAAGGAAGTTGCTCTATGGGGCTTGTGACCAGACTAGATTTCAATAAAGGTCGGCCTAGTCCTTTAATGCGTTAAGCTGGATCCCATACCGCGTTATAGGAGTAATAGGACATTAGTTCAGTAACAATTAAAGTAATTCAATGAATAGATTTATCAAACCGAATTTAGGACAACTAATTAAATTAGTAAATTAATTTATGAATAATTTTTATACTTGCAAACACACACACACACACACATATATATATATATATTTGAGAAAGCCCAAAGGCCAATTTATTAAAAGGAAAAAAAGATACATAAAGATTGTGTGGAAGGGCCCAAGCATGACACTCATTCCCTATGATAACCATCACATACAAAAGGTTCCAAAAAAAGAGAAAATACAGAAAAATACAAGATACCTAAATAAAAAAAACAAAAAATACAAAAAAAAAAACGTAGTATCAGGTAGCTAGAGAGCGACCCAATTTTCCTTTGTCTTTACCTCTAGTTCTAGGAAAAGAGCCAGATAATAAATTGGTAAGATGAGTGTCATTGCCAGTAGTGACCAAAATATCATCCAATAAGTTTCCAAGCTCGAGTCGGCCTCCAGTCTTCTTCTTCCTCCTGAAATAGACCTGTCATTCTTCATCTGAAGATTGGCTCGCCTGATCATTGGATTGGTCTAAAGTGTGTCGGACATGTGTAGGATGTTGAACATTAGAAGTAACAGCTTGTTGTACTAGCTGATCTTTGATTGAATCAAAGAAACACTCTCGTGTGTCTTGGCATGTAAGTGAGTCTTCTTCAATAACAGTGTGTGGTGTAAGCACTTTTGGATCTGTACATGTAGTATGATGCTCTTCATCAGGAACTGCGATGTTGGGTAAAGGATCGGTTTGCGCCTTCTCGGCAGGGATGGTAGGTGACTGATCTTTAGCGATATCCAAAATATGTCTTGTGGTAGCTTTCTCTCCAAATGAAACAGATATTTCCAGAGTAGTGGGATTAGACCCATCTTTATTCACTTGATCCTTAGATTTCAAATTAGGATGAAACTTATGATATTTATCAAGTGTATGCCCAAACATCTTACAATGAGAATAGTAAGGCGGTCTATAGTAAGGCGGTCTTTGTTGCCAATATCTATTATGAGTTGTAATTTGTTGCCAATATCTATTATGAGTGATTCTGGAACCATCAACCAGACTTCAGTAACGTCAGGTAAAATAATATCTCTTTCCACAAGTATTCTGGCCACAGAAGGCCTTGTTAGGTTGAAAGTCGGTAGATCTAGCTTTATAGGGTCCCCAAGTATGGCCCCAATAGAGTAAAGAACTTGATGATGAAAAAAGTGCAGCTTGAGACTTGGTAGACTGTATCATACCGGTACAGTAGGAGGTTCATGATTAGGGTCAAAATCAGGAGACCACTTGAGTAGCTTCATTGATTTACCAGCAGTGCTAAGATATTTTTTGGAGAAAATCCGAGTGTAGTCTTCAGCCATGGTTAATTGGATCAATACATGTCTCCCATCCATGAGCCTCACTTTTCACTTTTCTGCTAATTTGAGATCATCAAAACTTTTCCTGATAACTTTCATAGATGGGATGGGTGCCCCCACTGAAACCCCCACTGAAATTTTTCAATAAGAGCAAACTTGAATTTGTCAGTCAGGATTAAAATTTCTAACTCCGAGAAAAAGAGTGTTGTTTTTCCACTTTGTCTACTTGCATTCTTAATAAATGGGCAATCACCTGTACCATCTGTTGTTTTCTCACTTTTCCTGCTTGCATTCTTAATAAATAAGCAATCACCTGTACCATCACGATATTCCTTATAACTTGAGGGGAAGACAACCGTCGTTTTCACTTGAGGATTACCCACCACATGGGCAAAGGAGGCTTTGCCAAGTTCAACTGAAGAAGAAGAAAGCTCCATCACAGCTTAGAAGCCCTGCCAAGTCAGGGCAGACGGCAAAAAAGACGAGCCGAAGAGTTCGGGGGCGAAGCTGCACAGAAGACAGGAACTGCAGAATGTGCAGAAGACAGGGCACGAAATCGCAGCTCGGCAGACTGAGGCGCTTCCGTAAGAAGTAATCGAACAGAATGACGAAATGCGAACTCTGTCGGAGAGGCGACGAGACGCGAGCGTGGGCTTCAAACAAAGATGACGAGACGCGAGAGGAGAGACGACGACGATGGAGAGGAGAGACGACGTTGGAGAAATGATCTTGCGGTAAGGTAAGGGTTGTTAGGGTTCAACATGGATCGAAACCCTAACAGAGCTGAGCGTAGGAGACGACATATATATATATATATATATTGAAAGCCCAAAATGCTAATATATTAAATAGAAAGAAAGATATATACAGATACAATGTGTGAGAGGGCCCAAGTATGACACCCTGCCCACACAATAATCACAAATGGTTCCAAAACTAGAAATAACAGAAAAAATACATTAGATACTTAAATAAAAAACCTAACAATGTCGAAACACATAGTATCAGGTGGCTAGAGAGCGACCCAATTTGGTCTAGCGTCTACCTCTAGTTCTAGGGAAGGAGCAAGCTAATAAGCTAGTAAGATTATCGTCATTGCCAGTAGTAACCAATGTATCACCCAATATGTTCCCGAGCTGGAGTCGGCCTCCATTCTTCTTCTTCCTCCTGGAATAGACCTGTCATTCCTCATTCGAAGAATCCATCTGATGGGGTAGTAGAGCTGAAGCAGAAGGAATACCAACCGTAGTACCCATAATAGGTTCTAGTATATGTGAAGTATGAGTTGTCTCTACACCGGATACTTCCTGAAGAAGTGGAGCTACGAGGCTCTTTTGATTATGAGTCTGAACACTATCATTTGTAGGTAATAGTTCATCAGTATTGTTTTCTATGGGGTTTGAAGGTGTTAACATCACATTACAATGTCATGGGGAATCTTTAGGGGCAATAGGCACCTCCTGTCTGGTAGTATCCTCCCCAGGTGGAACTAAAATGTTCAGAGCAATGGGATTAGACCCATCCTTATCACTTGAACCTTAGATTTCAAATTTGGATGAAACTTGTGGCATTTATCAATGACATGACCAAACATCTTACAGTGGGTACAATATGAGGGTGTGCTCCATGATGATTTATTGCCAATAACCATTATGGGTTGTGCCTAGCTAGACTTCAGTAATATTA